CCAAACCCTATAAGAGAATCTTTTTTGAACTTGCATTTGATATCCCTGAAGAAGGATTTCGAAGAGAGAAATGAACAAGATAAACGATATTTTTGGATTTCAGTTTTTGATTACCTAAAGGGAAAATTCTAATGATAAACAAAAGATAAAGTATTTTTTTCTATATACAATATCCTAAAGTTCTAATGAAAATAAAAGATTTTTTTTTTTCATTTTTCACTAATTTCCCAAAGAGACACCTCAAGAGAAAATCTTTTTGAATTTTGGAATTAACACCCTAAAGAAAGCTTTTAAAGAAGTATTAAAAGAAAATCCTCTTTTTTTTTTGAATTTTGGTCCTAATATACTAAAGGAAACTTAAAAACAATTCATTTTAAGTCCTAGATATTAATTGCCTAAAGGAAAAACAACCTCAAAATTTTCTCATTTAGAATTAGCATTCTAAAGAAAATTTATAACAAAATATAAAATGCAACATATCTTTTTAGATTTTTGAGTTACAGCACATTTTTTCAAATATAAAACAGAAAATAACAATAATAAAAAACTTGACATTATTGTACAAAAGTAGAGAGTAAAAGATGGCATAAAGTGAGGAACATACTCAAAACATAAAAATAAAACAAATCTCCTTAAGCAACTCCTGACTGAGCGATCCTGACCGGATGGTCACGGGGTGTCTGCCATGCTCAAACTTCGGTAAATAAATCCACACCTGTATGAGAAAACTTTAACCAGCACAATGTGAGATAATATCACTCCCTATTAGACACATGCAAGACATAATTGGGACTATTTTTGCAAAATAATTTATTTGTCTAAAAGGTGGCTAGAAGTGCAAAATTTGGCTAAGACCCCGCAAAGCCAAGAACTTAAGATTTACTAGGAAGACCGGACCCTATGTGAGTTGCCTACGTATCCCGCCCCGAGAGACGAGAATCAGGTATGCGTAGTTCGGGCAGATTGGATACGGGCGAGAATAATAAATAAAAAACAACTGACATATAGAAAACACATTTTTTTTCTTCGAAAATTGATGAAACATATAAAATCTTTTTGGATTTTCTTTTTTTTTTGTTTTTTTTTTTGATTTTTGAAAAATGATAAAGAGTGCAAAATCTTTTTGAAGTTTCCATGCTCTTTTTTTCTTAATAAAATGTAACAAAATATAATTGGGCCCTACTCGCTTCATCCTCACACTTCAGCCTCTTTTTTTCTCTTTTTTTTCTTCTTTTTTTCTCTTTTTTTTTTCATTCGCCCTCAATTACATTGGTCCGCCAAATGACCCTTTTACCCTTGAAGAAATGCAACATATAGCACATAGGATGCATTAAGATGGTCTGTTATTTTGGGTACACCTGTCCTAGACGGACCCAACCCCTGTGTTGAGTCCCTTAAGTCAAATGCACGTGATGCAGACAAACGTTCCTACTAGGGATCCGGCATGAGGCTGTGTTTTTCTAAGTTTAAAAACCTGGGTTTATTTGTTCTAGACTTGGCTTACCCGAGCGGACAGCTCGAGTGGAGGGGGCAGCGTACCGGAAATACAGAAGCTTCGCCGGCTTTGCAACTTGTCCAAACCTCGTTCTAAATTTGGAATATGACTCTAAAAGAAAAGAAGTCACACGAAGTGCACACTTCTTCATGATTTAGAAGACTCAGAGAGAGGAGGGATTTCGCAACAGTTTATATACAGTTCACGGAATATCAAAGCGGTAAAAGCAATCAATTAGCACATTAGGCCCAAATCATGTAACAAAATCAGATAATGGATAAAGCCAACTATAACAATTATTCTAAGCTCGAATTCTTGAACCCTGAACCAGAGGTCGTGGGTTCGATCCCCAGCAGAGTCGCCAGAGCTGTCACACCTCCTTTTTACCTACACCCTGTAAAGGGTATAAATACAAGGGAGTTTTTCCAATTAAAGGACAATCGAAACGGGATCATACTACTAAAAGATTCAGAGTCGCCACTTGTGATAATTTTATAGTGTCTCAAGTCACCGGTTCAAATCTCGAGTCGAGGAAAAGGTTGACTCTGTAATACAGTCCGCGAACCAGAAATCCGAGTAAGGAATTCTGTTAACCCGGGAGAAGGTGTTAGGCATTCCCGAGTTCCGTGGCTCTAGCACGGTCGCTCAACTGTTATATTTGGCTTAACTATCTAATTTTAACAAATTTTTAAACATATGTGCATTTTTAACTTTTAAACCGCTTTTATTCATTTTTCGGAAGATTTCAACGTTATACAAAACACGTCTTTGGATCACGCCACATGAAATGCACCTGCGATCTGCGACACATTTTGTTTAGCGTCGTTAGGATTTGGATTTGGGTCACATGAAATGCACACCCGAGTTTAAGGAAATTAATTATTAAAATAACGCGCCTAAAGTGACTACGCGTTGGTAACTTTGCAAGGGCCATAAAAAATTCAACTAGTGGCACACCTCGATTATTAAAAGAAAAAAACAATTCACTACAGATATTTACAATTATTTATAAGACCAATGATTTATGGAATTGGAACTACCTAGAAGAGGTGATGTGATATCATTAAAGCTATTAGAAAAGGTCTGGAGATAATTGAAGCTATTTGATGAATATCCACAAACCACAATACGCAACCCAGTACATGATCGCAATAAGTATGCCAAGAATTCTCGATGCCTTGAAATAACTTGTGACAAATGGTCTGTGAAAGAAAACAGGCCAGTCGTAGCATTTATTGGATTGGCCTGACAAAACAATGCATTCGGCCTGGATTTTGGTAGTAAAGAATTTAATTTAACTTGATTCCAACTAAAAAATTTGTGCAGCCCAATTAATAATCAGTATAAAAATTAGCCGATAATCCATCAATTACTACTACCAACATTCTCAAATTACAAACTGAATAAGTCTTAAAATGAACCACTACGAGCGCGCACACACATATGGATAGTTCCAACAAGTGTACAGTAGGTCACTTTAGGCTGCAAGCGTAAAATAAATTCAAATTAAATACTAAGCACGTGTAATGTATCAAATAAGAGTGATTAAGGATAATAAAATCAGACCTCAAAGAATGACAGCTTTTCGACTACGACAGCTTTTCAGCGTTCCTCCCTTTCTTTTTAGTGTTAGCCTTGTTTTTACATTGTAGAGTCTAGGTTTCTGGTAGGGTTTTTAGGTTAAGGGGTATGTGCCTAAGAATTATGGGCTAGGTCCAAAATTAGGTCTAAAAATGAATTGCTCAAGCACAAGTTCTATTCTATCCGAGATTAAAAATACGGGCCCATTTATTAATTAATCATATTATTCAAATAATTATTAAAATAAAACTAACCATTAAAATAAATGTATTTTTGGTATTTTCAAATATCATATTAAAATAAAAATATGATACTATTTTTTGTATTTTTTATTTTTTTTAAGATTAAAAATGACTACAAAATATTAATGAACCTATTTTTGTAATTTTTTATTTTCTTGTAATAAAATAAAGTAAAAGAGTCAAAATTACTTAAAATATCTATATTATGCCTAAATTAAATATTTTACGCTAATATATAAAAAATCTTGGGGAGGATCAAAAATCACATATCTACAGATTGGGCTGCTTGCCCTAACACACGCAAGTCAGTCACTCACTATTTTGTCAAGTTTGGCACCTCTTTGATTTCTTGGACGTCCAAGAAGCAGTCTACCATCTCTCGCAGCTCAGCAGAGGCTGAGTACAGGAGTTTGGCATCCACTGTAGCTGAGGTGATTTGGATTCTAGGTCTGTTCAAGGAGTTGGGCATTCCTCATTCCTCTCTTGTTCCTATATATTGTGATAGTAAATCCGCTATTCAAATTGCAGCGAATCCAGTTTTTCATGAACGTACGAAACACATTGATATTGACTGCCATTTCATTAGGGAAAAGGTTTAACAAGGGCTGATTAGTACTGTCTATGTTCCTACTGCTGAACAGGAAGCTGACTTGCTAACCAAGGGCCTTGGGCGATTTCAACATGACTATTTGGTGTCCAAGCTAGGACTGAAGAACATCTTCAGTGGACCTAGCTTGAGGGGGGGTGAGGAGGTGTCCACGCAAGCAATGCCTTATCTCACATGTGCTCTTAACTTAACTATAGTTAGATCAATGTAATCGTAGTTAGTCCATTATTTTAATACTTGTACAACTGTACATGAGTTGGCAGTAGTTAGTTGGTCACTGTAGAAAGCAGTTATATATGTTGTACATTGTTCATTTTAGATATATCGAAGAAGAAAATTTCCTCCTCTGCTCTTCTTCTCCCAAGCTGCTTCTTCTTTTCTCTGAATTCAATCACACTTTCAGTTTAATCATGAGAATTTAACAGAATCCTTCGAACAAAAATAAAAAACAACAACAAAAAATCCAGTATAATCTCATAAGTGGGAATTGGGGAGGGTAGTATGTATACAGATCTTATCCCTCCCTAAAAAATAGAGAGTCTATTTCCAATAAACCCTCGGCTCAAGGAAAGATGAAAGAAAGCAGTAGTACCAAGCAGTAACAACAACAAGATAAAAAGAAAACGAAGCGAAATGAACATGTAGTAGTAAAAATCTAATAACAATACAATACAAGACTAAAACTAATACTACTGCTATGAGTAAAAAACACTCTCGGCTGCCTACTAGCCTTCCACCTTAATTCTCAACCTCCACACCTTCATGTCAAGGGTCATGTCTTCGGTAAGCTGAGTCGATGCCATATCCTGTCTAGTCACCTCTTCCCAATACTTCTTTAGCCTACCTTATTACTAGCTGTCGTTGTAACGTAAGGAGGTCCCCCCCACCACAAATGTTTATTATTCTTGGGTTGTTTATAGGCTTTTAAGAATAGATTTTGCCTCATCCAGTTAAAAGAAAAGATTTTAATAATCTTACAGTAATCCTCTTTTGCAGCAGGGCCCTTCATGGTACTTGACACAACAAATAACTATTTAGTCAGCAGAATACCATATTTCACATTAACACTAATAAAAAACCATACAACAAATGTTTATTCAGCACAATACCATAGTTCACAATAACTAACACTATAGAAAAGCATTGAAGCAACACAATAGCGGGTCAGGCTACAGCCTTAACTCAGCTTTATTACATTGTTACACACACAAAACAACCCCAACTTCTTGTCTGTCCTTTATTATTTAATTCACATGGACAAATAGGTAGGTTCTTATATATTTAGTCCATATCAAGAATTGGGGCTCTGATTTCCTCATGATTAGTGGCAAGGAGAGTAGCAGTAGCAAGCATATTTAGCCCAGTGATGTTTGTGATCACCCCATTTGTACTTCTTGCAGATACCATATTCAGCTCCAAACCAGTGCTTGCAGTGGTGGCTACATTTGTAAGAGTAGTGGCAAGGCCCATGCCACTTGTGACTTTTCTTCCAGCAGTATTTTGCTTCTTTCGTTTGTATTTGTATGGCTACAAAATCATATGGTTAATAATAAAATAAGAATTTTGAAGTTAAATTGTGTGCAAATATAAAATAATGTCATTCCTGAGCGACCTAATATACTATTTAGAATTTTTTGGTCAAAGTCTACAATTTGGCAATATCTATGGGTGAAGTACACAAATAGCCCTCAAAAGTGGATAGTCTTGATTTTTTATTCTCGCTTGCTCCATAGGTAGAACTTCATGTTTAATAAATGTTGCCTCTCACTTGCCCCATGAAAAATACTTTTAACCTTGAAGTTCTACTCATGGGACAAATAGAGGTCAAAAGTTAAAAACCACCCTAAAAAAGTCATATTTCTGTAATTTTTTGGATGCTTATATTCTTTTTGGAACTCAAAAGTAATGTGATCAAATGAGAGATAGTAGTAATAACTTTCAAAAGACAAAATAATATTGGAAAATCGCTACATCTTAGAGTCCCATTACCTTTTAGACTATAGGAAAAGTTGGAACTTACATATTTCAACACTTCTAGATGGCATGAGAAGAAAGGGATCCTTGGCGTAACTGGTGAAGTTGCTGCCATGTGATCAGGAGGTCACGGGTTCGAGCTGTAAAAACATCCTCTTGCAGAAATACAAGGTAAGGCTGTATACAACAGATCCTCGTGTCCGGCCCCTCCCCGGACCCCACACATAGCGGAAGCTTAGTGCACCGGGTTGCCCTTTTAGTTTGCATGAGAAGAAATATTAAATGGTCTTCCATACCTTCCAATAATTTGAACTGATATAGCTAATAAATACCGACTATGATGAATATTTTTACATGTAATGCATGGAGGTCAGTGATAACACAAAGGTTGAGAGATCCAAGAATTTAAAGAAAATAAGCAAAAATATGAAAGCAATAAAAGAAAGAGAAATGAACTTGACAAAAGAAAAAATAACTAGATATGTGAAAATTTAAGGAAAAAATCGAAGAATTCTGGCATTATATTAATCCAAAATTTTGACAAGACCCTAGTGAGAATCCTTTAAGTTATCAGTTAGTTCAGGCTTAAATTCTTGACTCACCATTGGCCGCAACAAGGAGGAGGCAAAAGAGGAGAGCAAGAAAAGTTGTGTACTTGGCCATAGCTGTTATTTCTTTTGGATTCTTGGTGAGGAAACAAACAGTTGAAATGGTGGCATTTATAGTATTGGAAACTCATATTGTCAACTTAATTCCCTTTGATTTGTTCAAAGATTACGTTGGATCGATGTTGGCGTACTTACAATGGGTATTGAAAGGACACTATCAAGTACAAAGAGGTGGTCATGCACAAGTAACATTTCTTTAATTGAAGAATTTGAATTGATCATGTCGAAATTCGTAATAAAGAATTAGTCATGCAGCAAGTATGGAATTGGCGCACAAATAAGCAGAATCAAAGTGAGAATGGGCAAAAACCTATTTTGACATTCCAAAAGAGACCCAAAAAAAAAACTATAGGATATTTCATTCCATTTTTCTAATTCTTGATAAGTAGTTATCATTATTTGTATTGGTAGGAGATAGCAGATTTAAAATTATAGTCGAGCTGCATGTACGGCAATTTGGACAACGCCATGTTAAGAAAAAAAATTATAAAACTTTATTTCATCAAATAGATGATATCATTTGTGAGTTTTGAAACTATATATAGCTAAATAAATTAAATTCGATTTCTCTTTAATAGTTTAAACTTTTGGATAAGATACTCACACCCATAGTATTGTGGTCTCGGAACAGGCATAAATCCTGGATTTGAGTTTCACCACCAACCAAATAAAATAAAATAAAAAAATCACGTGCTTGATCCATTAAATAAAATCAGACTTGAACGTAAAGAGGCATATTGAAGATATTAGTAAATAGATAAAATATATATTTTTATGCTTTTAAATAAGATAATAATACCCTTCAAAGGAATTGGTCAGTACATTACCACAAGACACGTGTCACATGCCAAATGATGTTTCATCGACTCAAGGGGTTCAGGAAGCTTTCTTTGGGTTTCAGCAAAAAATCAAGTCTGATCATTGGCTATGTCAAAATTAAACTCCTTATCATTTTAAATTTTTTATTCTTACATTAACCGTGTTGATCTCATCCTATTTGCTATTTAATTTGAAATTATGTAACCATTTCATTGAAATGGGCGTCCAACTGAACAGCCATTTTGATATAGTTGAATGTCATGATAAATTATACGTCAAGCTAAGTTTACGACGTTTTCTCTAGAGCATATGAGGATATATTTTTTGTTTATTCTGCAATTTAACATTCTTTCGCTTCTTAATGAGATAGAGATAAGGTTCTTCCAGCTGATTTATATTAGTGGTGTGCACAAGACAATATTGCCCAATAAGATGTTTTATTTCAAATAAAATCAAGTTGATGTCCACCATGTTAAATTTAAATAAAATTTGACACGAGGAGTTGGCTCGATGGTAAGTTGTCTCATCTCCAATTCTTTAGTGGGCGTATTGAATCACGCTGGAAGAAACTAAAGAACCATTGTTGATATTGGCCGATGTTTAACCAAAAGTTGACCATTAGGTCTAACAATTAATTTAATGAGAGATTAGGCCTCAAGCAACGTGATTAAACAAAATTAGAATCAATCCTTTGATACTGAAAGAGTTGTGCACGTACTGTGAAATTATACAAGTAACGTAATAATAGTAATGAAACTAATAATAAGATCCAAGAAATGAAATAAGAATAAGAGAGTGTTTATATATATATATATATATATATATATATATAAACCAATTTTTTATGTATATATGTATGTATGGATGTATAATTTACGCCTTGTGAAGGCGTGTTCCTTCTATTTCAATCCAAATACACCAAACAGAGGGGTACATAAAACTTACGTCTGTGCCAAAATATACAGCTATCCTACTTCTTTGCTAAATACGTAACAAAATACATGATGGGAGGTGTACTCACCATACTTCTATTTCAGCTTCATCTTACATATTGATTCTTTTTTTGTTTGTGTCTTATGAATGCCATATTAGCCTTGTCCAAAATATATGTCTCAGCAGCTTTACAAGGGAGTTCCCTCACATCAAAGAAAACACCATCTTGTTCCTCAATACTCCACTTAGCTAATGCGTCCGCTACAAGATTTGCTTCTTGGTAACAAAGACAGATGACACAATTGGCCTGAGCAGGTAGCTTTGTAGTTTCAAGAATAGTATCCTTTAATTGCCAAGCTATGTTGATCGTACCCTTGAGCATATTAATAATCAGGAAAGAGTCACACTCCAGTATAAAATTCTAAAATCCCTGGGAGATACACCATGTACTCTTATTTTAGCAGCCTTTGCTTTAGCTAGATTACTGCTACCTCTGCCTAAAGATTACGCAAAAGCCATGATCAAGTACCCTGAAACATCCCTTACTATACCTCCAGCTCCTGTAAAACCTTCTCCATTGTGACTGCCATTTGTGTTGATTTTAACTCAATTTACCGGAGGTCTTTCCCAAGAATAAGAGAGTAATTCTTACTGATCGATCCAATAGCAGAGATTAATGCTAAATGAGTAAAGAATTCGCCAGAGCTTGTGTACTATGTTGTGTTCTACAATGATAGGGAAAGGGGAATTATTATAGTGTAGCTTAACTGTAACCAACATGTTACACATCACTTGTGTTGCAAGTGAATTCAGTGTTCCGAGGCCTAAAAACCTCCCTTTTACCTCACCTTGATTTGCGTGCGTGGTCCGGACCTATATCCAGAAAGCCCTCTATGTGAAAACAAATGAGAAATAGAAATTCCTAGAGTTAAAAATTTGATTTTTGGTTGACTTTGGTCAACATTTTTATCAAATGGACCCGGATCCTTGTTCCGACGATCCCGGAGGTCCGCAGTAAAATATGAGACTTGAGCGTATACCCGGAGATGAATTCCGAGGTACCAAGCCTTAGAAATCAATTTTTGAAAGAAATTGTTTTACTGAATTAACTAAGAAATGAAGAAAAGAATTTAATGTATGAAACCATTGTTATCGGGCCCGTATTTTGGTTCCGGAGCTCGGTACAAACTTGTTATAGTATTTGAAAGATAACTGTGAAATTTGGTGAAAAATGGAGTTTATTTGACGCGAGTTGGACTTCCGGTTAAAGAGTTATGAACTTTGAGAGTTCTTGATGAAAATATTGAGTTTTGATATTTAATTCATGATTTTACATGTTATTTTGATGGTGTGATCGAACGAGTAGGTCCATATGATGTCTTTGAGTTAGTATGCACACTTGGTTTGGAGTTCCGAGGGCTCGAGTGAGTTTCAGGTAGGTTCCGGGATGTCTTAAGCTTAAAATGTAGTTGTTGCAGGTTCAGAGAAGTGGAAGGCCTCTGAACAAACCAGTGTGGTCCGTACAAAATGGAGTGCTGCCGCAGAGGGGCCTGTGCGGCTGCACTAGATTTTGTGAGGTCCGCGGTGAAGAAAAATTTACTAGTCCGACTTCGGAAGCCTATATCTTTTGATATACAAGGAATTTTGAGATGATTCAAAAACAAAAGTTGTAGCCCTTCATATCGAGTTTCCAGAAAGCTAAAGAAATCACAATTTGGACATCTTTAGAGAAAGTTATGGCCAAAATACTAAAGTATGTCACTGCAGTCCACACGGGAGCCGTGCGGCCGCACTCAATTTTGTGCGGTCCACACAGGGGGTCTGAGAGGGTTATATTAAAACGGGATTTTCAGTTATTTTTCAAAACTCCAAAAATATAAGAGGCGATTTTTCAAACAACCTTTCTTCTTCAAAACATTGGTAAGTGATTTCTAACTCGTTTTCTTCAATCATTACATCTTTTCACATGATTTCAACTCAAAACCAATGATTTTCATGGGGGAAATTGGGTGTTTTGGGTAGGACCTATCTTTTTCAAAAATTGGGGATTTGGACCTCAATTTGAGGTCCGATTTCAAAACAAATTATATATTTGGGTTTGTGGGGGAATGGGTAATCGGGTTTTGGTTTGAACCGCGGGTTTTGACCATGTGGGTCCGGGGGCGATTTTTGACTTTTGGGTAAAACTTTGGAAAACTCATTTTCATGCATTGGAGTTGATTCATTTAGCGTTTATTGATGTAATTAAGTAAATTATGGCTAGATACAAGCGAGTTGGAAGTGGAACCAAGGGGTAAAGCGGTAGTTGAAGCTTGATAGTGCTCGTGGCTTTGAGGTAAGTGTTTGGTCTAACCTTAGCTTAAGGGATTAAGAGTCGAGTCCTATTTGCTATGTGATAATTGTTGAGTACGACGTATAGGCATGGTGCCTAGTATCTATACGTTGGTGTCTAGCATGACCGTGAGTCTTATATTGTGATTATCATGACTTCGTTGTATCTTTCATGCCTTGGTAATGGTTTCTACTTGTTGTGTAAAGTTCGTGGAAGGAATTATGACCTATGAACATTGAGGAACATTGGCTCAAGTTGTATAACAAATTGTGAAAGTATAAGTGATAATTGAACCTCTAGAGCAGTAGCTCGAGTTGTGAAGTGAATTGTGAAGTAAAAGTGAGAAAGGTAAGAGATTATTATGTTGCCACCCTTGCCGGGCTATTGTTTCTTTATTTGTTATCTCCCTTGACGGGATGTTGATATTACTGATGTTGTTCCTTTACCGGGACTTAATTGTTGATTTGTTGTTCCATTGCCAGGATTCTTATTATAATCTCATTTATTCCCTTGCCCTATTGTTTGTGTTTGTTGTTTGGGAGAGGAAGAGAGCTAAAGCACGAAGAGTGATGTTGTGCATTATTTTTTTATGAGAAAAGAGTGTAAAGAACGAAGGGTGATGCCGTGTATGATTGTGAGGAAAGAGTGTAAAG